GTTGACACGATATCTCGAGAACCAATAGCTAGAAATCAAAGAATAAAATAACGTTTTCTTAAAGTTTATTTGCGTGGCTATCGCGTAAATGAAAATTATTGAAAAATATTTAAAATTCATGAGTTGACACGTGTTTTTAGAAAGTGCGAAAGAACTCTTTTTTTCCGCGCTAAAAAGTTGGATAAAAAATTTATTTTTTAATTAAACCAGTTTATTCTAGCTTACTCGATAGCTAGTCAATCTACGAATACAACGCTGCAAGAATTTTTAAAATCGGTCGGTTAGTTTTTCCGAAATCGTGTCAATCGCCTAAAAAACAACATTTCAAGAAAAAAGCGTTAAAAGGTTTTTATAGATTTTTTTGAAAATAAAATAATTAAACTATTTACCGGTAATCAGCGATTCTTGGTCCATAAAGTAAGCCTCTAACTTTTTTAAACATTTGGCTGTAAAAAAAATGTTTGGCTGTAGAATAGTTAGTTGTTCGTATTCCTTTCTGAAATTTTGAATACCAGAAACAAATTGACTTTTGGCTATAGAATCGTTGATTCTTCGAATTTCTTTCTGAAATATTGTATTTTTAGTGTATTCTTGAAATATTGTACAATCGAAATATGCAAAAAAAAAGTTAAGCTATCCGTCAAACCAACAGTCTTTTTACAGGAGATGTAAATTGTAAATCTTCTAGACCGCTTATAACAGTGATAATTTTGGCAGGTTGTCAATTACTGTTACCATTTTTATCGCGTATTTAAAGCGATGCTAAAGCTTCCTGTTTTACCACATTTCCATTCGGTGAAAAATCTCTGTATTGGATATACGGATTGTAAAAGTATTATTGCTTAAATTAAAGTACGCACAAACGGAACCTCAACTGCACTGGATTTCATGAGAAAATCGAAAAAAAGTTTCAGATTCGTTAAAAATTCACTCACTTTTGACTCGTACAGCTGTCACCTCAGATATATATTTGCTTGATATAAGAGTTTTAGAGTCCATATCTTGAAAATAAGCGTG